AAAAGATTGCACAATTAATAAAATTCACATTTATAGAACTATCTACAAAAATTATACTATTTAAGTATATAATTTCACAAATATTAACTATAAAACACGCTTTAAATATATATTTTTATCCTTTTATTATTTTGTTTCAAAATTTTACAAATAAAAGACAAATCATACATATCTTACATCTGTTCTACATACTTTGAACACCTGAACTAATTTTGGTGCTACTAAATACACCACAGCCAAAATCAAAAAATAAATAAAGGTGGATTTACACACTATTTTCTTTCTTTTTTCTTTTTCTTTTTTTAACCTACAGCTTACATGAGAAGTGCTTAATAAGGGGTTGGTGGCCACTAGCACGTTCTTATTCTTATGATAATAAAAAGTAGCATTACTAAGCCAATAAAATCATTCACAATAGTACTACATAGGATTGAGTAGTAAAATTTGTTAAAAATGGACATTGTATGCAAATATAATAATATATGTAAAAAAATTTATTTTTATATATATATATTTTATATATTATATTTTCATAAAATTTTAATTTTTTATTTTTAATAATTAAAATTAATTCATATTTGTTAAAAATAATTAATCAAGTTCCGTGACAGCACATTAGCAAACCAAAAAAAAAGTTGCGTAGATTGCCTATTTAAAGAAAAAAAAAGAAGAAGATTGGTAAGCAGAAAGAAGCAAAGGAATAATGTGATTCTCCTCCATTAGTCAAACATGGTGGCTGCAGATAATATCATAATACCTCCCTAGTCCTCACCCCACGGTCCGACTTCTCCCCACTCCTTGTCCTATATAAAGAGGAAACAATTACCCCCAAAACATAAAATTCATCTAATCTCATCTTTGATTGCGCACACAATAATTCTTCCAGATGGCCAATCTATTCATTAATCAGGCGAAACAGTACGCCGTGGGTCGCCCCAGTTACCCCAAGCAACTTTTCCAGTACTTTGCCTCCAAGACACCTTCTCATGATCTTGTTTGGGATGTCGGTACTGGCACCGGTCAGGCTGCTCGATCTGTAAGTCTCATCTCCATCACACAGGCGGATTCTTCTCCCATTCCTTCAGGGGGATGGGCAAATTCTCATCCCCATATCAAAATGCTTCATTTCTTATCATGTTTTTTTTTTTTTTTTT